AGTTTAATCGCAATAGTTTGGTCACACATTTATTAGATTAGCCAGTAAAAATGTACGTATGATTTTCATGTGTTTATTTTCACGTGTTTATTCTAAAAAAACGTTATTGGGTATCGGGTATCTCTAAAATTACAGAATTTTTTTTATCGACACGAAAAAAAAAAAATTAAAAAATTAACGTACGTATGTAATAAGAGTACACAAAAGAAAAAAAAAAAAAGGGGGGGAAAGGGCAAAATTGACCTATGTATAAAAATGCATGTATTAAATAAAAGAAAGGGGTTCGAAACTATTTAAGGAGTCAACAATAAATACAAAAAAACTAAACATTAATTATATTTATATATATTCAAATATATAATTAGTTCAATAAAAAATTTCAATATACATATTTAAATTATTTATCAAACTATTCAATATACATATTTAAATTATTTATCAAACTATTCAAATGAACATTTATAATTTAAAACCTTCTGCTCGCAAAAAAAACCAACCACCAACACTCAAACTAACCACGAGATTTATCCACCCGTAATTATTGGTTATAACACATCCGGTATTAGACAATGCGTTGGTAGAGGTAGGTTGTGATATGTTAGATGAACTACCGGAAATACTGACGTTATAATCTTTCGATGTCTTTGTTACATTTACCGGAGGGGGATCTATTGGTGACGGTATTTCAGGATTTGGTTTGCTAGGTGTTGCATAACTAAAATAAATTAAACAAGATGTGATGTGTCAGTATCAGATTACATATCGCAGATGATGTCAGTTATATGCACATGCAAGTGATAGTAATTACCCTATAGTTTCAAGTAATAATAGTAATTTTGGACCAATTGCACAAGTTGCATTGTTTTGTTTCATTGCAGTTTCCAAACTTCGGCCAGGGCGTTGCAGATAAGTCATTAAAAAATCGGTCGTATTATCATAAATTTGTAGACTAAAATGTGATATACTACTTCCTTTCAAATATGGGAACAAAGTAGTTTCCAACCATATGAGTTCGGATTGAGGATTTGCTAAAAATACCATAGAATTTGGTGTTTGTGAATAGTTCAATACCATTTTTGCAAAATTATATTGAGTTGAATTCATAAAAGAATCCAAAAAAGCCTGTTGATTTTGGAACTTTGTTCCAAGTGGAGTAAAATCATTCAATTGATCAGTAAAATTTGAAAATTTATCTCCTTCAGCTGTTACTAAAAATGCATCAAATATAGTTTCAACAAATCCATAATATGTTATAGGCTTAGTTACATCGCCATCCATTGTTATGTTTAATCTTGGAACTAATTCAGTGGTTATGTTAGAATTTAAAAGGGGTTTCCAACTTGTTATAAGTCCAAGACCATGAACGATTTCATGTACTATTAATTCTAGAAATCCTATCTGTTGAGGACCGACTGTCGGGTCGTCTTCGAAATAATACTCTGTACGAGAATTGAATACAGCAACAATATCATCGGTTGCATATTCTGGATGTGTAGGAAATTGAAATTGTTTGACTAAAGCCTGTGGAAAATTTCGAATTTTTTTATCTTTACATTTTAATGGAATTATTCGAGCCGGTGCCGCTGATCCTAATTACCAAAAATGTTAACATATGATTTTAAACTAGTTAAAACAGAATAACTTATTAATGAAATAATGATACACACCTAAAATTGTGTCATCAGACAATGGTACTAGACTAGCATTTATTCGTATTGGAGTATTCAGTAACAAAGCGCTGGAAAATATTTCTCCTGCTTTCTCAAATGATTTTTTTGCTTTATCGCAAGTTGTCGCATTAATTAATGGGTCACAAGTGAATGTTATGTCAAACATGTTAGTCGAAACGCCTGGTTTGACCCCAACATTAAAAAATTTGCTATTTGAAGTGTCTTCAGTCACGGAAGGACATTTAACTGGCTCTGCATTTTGGTTAAAGGGGTCATCTGTATCATAACACCAATATTCAGCAGAGACAATAATGACTCTGCTCCATGATAGGAATATAATTAAAGATATAATGTATAATATGGATTGCATTCCTTTTTTTTCCTTTTTTTACTAAAAGATTACAGAATTAACATAATAGCTTATGTCTTAGAGTGAAGGTTAAAGGATTTTTATTGCGGGTTAGATGGAGTTTTATAGTCGTCGAAAAGAAAGGAAGGTATGTCATATAATTGTTGAAAGAAAGGATATGCGTTGGGAATGCATTATTGAATTACGAGCCAGATGTGCCTTTTAAGATAGAAAGTTGTTTAATTAAATTGTACCACCACTACAAAAATTAGAAGTAATTAAAGCAATTTTCCTTTTTAAGATAACCTTGTTCTGTCGGTTTATTTAATTTGGTATCCTAAAATGAGGATTAAACTCATCGGTTGTGTTACCTATTGTTAGGACGATATTATTTATGCGTGAAAATATATTATATAGTATATACTGTATATTATGTAATGCGTGTCACATTAGGATGCAAGATACTGTAACTAGCTAACGGAATGTCCAATACTATGGTGTTTGGAATTTATATCCTGGAGCACACTTACTTATGATCTACAAACATATGGTCAAAAATAATTACATTAAATAAAACGCACCTATTGTGTCTTTGCACCTATTTATTACGTATATTCTTTTTATGCCATGCTTTGCCAAGTTCTTTATAATAAATTTTTAATTCAAAATTCTTTCGCATTAGGGTTAGTAATTAGAATTATATAAATTTAAAGTTGGAAAGGGTTTTTGTGCTTAGAGCACCGCAGCACCAACTAATTGACCGGTTTATTAAGAAAATGTATAAACATCTAAATTTTTTCACTCCTAAAATATTGTGATAAATGTCTAGTTCAGTAGTTTGAGTATTACAAGTAACTACGTATCTGATCGGGAAATCAAAAATAGTAGATCATACATAATAATGGCCAATAAAAACCAAGATGTATTAGGAGCACTGTACCATATCGATATTGTTGAAGTATGGATGAAAATCAGTAACGCGGTAATGGTATGGGGTGTACAGTGCAACGCACATATGTACGTACGTGTACTATATTAAGTCTGTTGTAATTCCTAACACTAATATAATCGCACCATAATGACTGCATAATGCGCCAAGGATGTGGACAATGTTTACCGTTTAGCACTGCTTATAGTATCCTGTAAATAATATTAAATAATTTCTCTCTTGAGTAATTGGTCATTTAAAACTTTCAAAAATCCATTAACCGGCAAAAAATTGGAAAAACCCTCATTTTATATGTCAATAATGATATTCAAATGGGATGAAAGTATTCACTGCCCTTCCGACAGCAATATTACTTAGTAAATGAGGTTTGATTTATTTAGTAAAAATTCAGTTTTCTTGTAATAATTTCAATTGGCCATTTTACCCCATTCACCATAATATCCTATATAACATCGACAGCAATAAATCTCAAAATATACTTCTAAAAATAAATGCATTATATTTATACGAAATCAAACTACCAAAGTTTAATTTTGCTAATACGATAAAAATAAAATACAGGATAGAATAAATATTATTCAGAATCTACGGTCGTACTATCTTTTTTTGCCTTTCAGACACATATACCGATCCATGTTATAATAAAGACAATTTTATAATTAGATTTAATATTTGAAAATGTAGTTATAAGATTAGTTAAAATGTTCTCATCCGATTCTTGTACAGGATAGAATAATATCTATGAACATTGGATTTATCCCTGATAAGAACATTTAAATGTGTATCTTCTGCTATTTGTATGCTAAAAATTTCAAATTGGTCTTTATCTGAATTAAAAGTTTTTGATATATGTATAATAACACCATCATATAAGTTAGTCGATATTGTCGTCTACTTTCTTTGTTGTGTACAATCAAGCATTCAACATACATAATTTCACAGAGTATATCAAATATTTCGTCACGTCTTCTTTTCTATCTGCACTAGCAATACTTGTGTTAAATAAAGAAGGATGATCTGAAGAGAAGATTTTTAATACTCGAATAAATGGCCACTTCAGAGTTAAGAGCAGATTATTCAGAACATCTCTCATGGTACTAAAAATTTCATTTCTTCCTATTCATATTTTTTCTATGCCTGTCATGATGCAAAAACCATTAATTTTAAATAGATATAAAATGATATATGATAAATACTTACCAAAACTTCTCCTTATAATATCTCCTGTACATATCATATTACACGATCGGAGATGTCACACATGGCTAACGTGAGCACACAATTAATAAAAATTCTCTACATATGTCTTTGACTTTAGGTGAAAGAGACTTGAAGAAAGTATAAGCATCATTTATCTAATTAATTTCTAAAATAAAACCATAGCAAAAATATTAGAAATAATTTATAAGACTTGTTTTGCTTAATATTAATAAGCATATACCATAAATGTTTTTTTAGATTTTCACGTAAATTGTGGCATTATCTTTTTTTCTAATCATGTCATGTAATAGAGTACAGTTGACTAACCAATAGATCTTTCTAGGTTAACTCTTGAATAAGAGTCTTCTCTACACTGAATATAAATGCTGATAAAGAGGTGAACAGGTAGATTGATGATTGAGGTTGTTAGACAGGATGGGTGATGATAGTTTATTTTAAGAAGGAGTTTTTTACAACTTATTAAATTTGATCTGTTGTTTCTTATCTGTTTGATTGCTCTCATAGCAAATAAGAAACACACATCTTCGAACATTATCGAAATAAAAAGATGTTGCACGTTAGAACTTTTTTTAAAAAAATGACAGTTTTTAATTTTCGTACCATTTATTTATTTTATTTTCAAAAAGTTAATTTACATATTCAAGAAAGTTAATTTATATATATCACAGCCTACATCATTAGTGATGGGACTAGAAGGGCTAAAAATTAAATGTTATACACTGTGATCTATTAAAAAAATTTTGAGTTTGATAAATATTAAATACAACAATTAAGTATCACCGATTTTAACCCTGGTAATCCTATCACCATAATACATTAGGGTGTTCTATATCATAATTAAATCAAAACTATGTTAGCAAATTTGTAAATCCGCTAAGTGCAGATT